TTAAGGGCTGAACTCGCTTGGCCTTTCTTAAGCTAGAGGAGCTGAAGAACAAATTGAAGCTTTGAGTTGCAGCTGCAATCCTTAAGTATGCTGTAGGCCGAATATTAAATGACCAAGGAAGCATCAAAAGAAAATGGAAGGAGTATAGAGCCCCTGTACCAAAGAGAATAGGGTGACACAGAAGAATTTCATGAAACAACATATGACCAAGAGACAGTGGTGGTGAACGAGGAAGTTCAAGCTGCTCTGAAGGAATCGCCAAAAAAAAAAAAACCACAAAGCCCCAGGAGTTGATGGAATACCAGTTGACACAGTTCAACAAATAGATGCAGCCTTGGATCTCATCAGGTTGTGTCAAGAAATCTGGAGGACAACCACCTGGGCAACTGACTGAAAGAGATCTATATTTATTCCTATTCCAAAAAATGGTGATCTGACAGAGAGTGAAAATTATCAAACAGTATCATTAATACCAGATTCAAGCAAAATCCTATTGAAAGACATTAAAAAAACTACTTAAACAGTACATTGACAGAGAATTATCAGAAATATGTACTGGGTTTAGAAGAGGCCGTGACACTAGGGATATCATCGCAAATGTCAAGTGGATCTTGGCTGAAAGTGTAAAGTACCAGAGGAATGTCTGTCTTTGTTTCATTGACTATGCAAAGGCATTTGACGGTGGTAGATCACAACAAATTGTGGCTAATCTTGAGAAGAATGAGAATCACAGAAAATTTGATTGTGCTCAAGCAAAACCTGTATTTGGTCCAAGAAGCTGTTAGAACAGAGCAGGGAATCAGCATAGTTCAAAATCAGGAAAGCAGAGTATCAGGGATGCATCCTGTCTCCATACCTTTTCAATCTGAATGAGGAACAGATCATTTGAGGAGGAATGTGGCTTCAGCATTGGAGGAAGACTCATCAACAATGTGAGTTATGGAAATGACTCACCTTGCTTGCTGAAACTGGGGAAGGCCTGTAGCATTTGCTGCAGAAGGTCAAGGACTGTAGGCTGCAATACAGATAGAAGTTCAGTATCTTGAAAAAGAAGATTCTCACTACTGGGCCAGTTGACAACACCATGATAGAGAAGAGAAAGAGCTTGTTAATAGTTTCAGTTTGCTTGATTCCACTCTTGACACCAGCAGTCAGCAAATCAAAAGACATTGTATTAGGAAAATGTGCTGTTATGGACCTCTCCAGAATGCTAAAGAGCAGTGATGTCTGTCTAGAGACTAAGATGTGCCTGATCCAGGCCATGGTCTTTGCAGTTACCTGTTATGCATCAGAGAGCTGAGCAATGACGAAAGAGAACAGAAGAAGAATGATGCCTTTGAGTTGTGGTGCTGGAGAAGAGTATTGAACATGCCATGGACTACTAAGAGAGAACTAACAGGTCTGTCCTGGAGAGTGTCAAGCCAGTCTGTTCCTTGGAGACAAGGATTTTGAGGCTCTGTCACATACTTTGGGCATGGTGCCAGGTAGTACTAGTCCTTGGATAAGGACATTATGATTGGAAGAGTGAAGGGACAGTGCAGGAAAAAACCCTGGAGGACAACAAGAGCATGGAAACAGCCCAGATGTCCAACCACAACTGAATGGATTGAGAAATTGTGGTACATTCAAACAATGGGTGGTTTTTTTTTTTTTTTTTTTAAAAATCTCAGGAATTTCAGTCACTTCTATGTTAATTCCATTTGATGATACCTTATATGATACTTGACCTTCAGTTTCTTCCTTTTTGTTTTTTTGTTTTTCTTACAGATTAGTATTAAAGAATTTCTCCTCCAATTTATTGTAGTACATTGCTTCAGATTTACTCCTTTATCCTTCCAATGTCTTAATCTGTTTCTTAAATTTCATTCTTAATATTCTGAATTTCAGTTTGCTTCTCATTTCCATTTATTTTATGTTGTTGTTTTTTTCTTTCAATAATTCTAGAATTTCGTTTATATTTTCCTGGGTTTTACCTATGCTTTCCTCAGTGTGTGTTTTTAATCTGAAGACATTTACCTTTCATTCTTTTGAATTCCTTATCATGAAGTTCTAGTAGTCTTTCTTCCTCTGAAAGACTTTCAGATTTTGTATTTTGGTCTCTTTTTTGGTTCCATTTTGTCCTATTATTTGACTGTTTAAAAGTTAATTCTTGTGTCTCAGCTACTGTTTTGGTGTTTCCTTTTAATTGTTTCATTTAGCTGTATCTGAGCAGAGCACGCGTGCACATGTGCACACTCTAGTTGTGTAGCTTGGTAGTTTAATTCTTAGTATTTTATCTTGTATCTCCTGGTGGACGTGATAGAGGAGAGAGGTGTGTGTGCTTTTCTTTGTTCCTGTAGAGCAGTAGAGAGCATACTGCCCTGTCGTTGCAGTCTTTCATCAATCAGGTGGACAAGGAGCTGGTCTTTACTCTTGCCCAGTGGGTAAATCTGCAGGGAATGTTTGTGTGGCTGAGGGTAATGTTACTACTATTTGTTTCTCCAGTGGGAGAAAGGAAATAAAACAACAATAAACAAAAGTAAGATTGGACAGTAAAAACAAAGCAAAACAACAAAAATCCCGGACAAACCACGAGAACAAAAGAAAAAAACACACACCACCATTTAAAAAGTGAAGAGAAATGAACGGTTAGTGTTGGAGTACATAGTCGGGTCAGTGTTTCTGCTCATCTGAAAGATGCCTGACGTGCCAAGATAGGAGCTGTACCACAGGAGTACCTCTTTTAGTCCAGTGGTCATCAGAGTGTTGGGCACGCAGCCTGAGATCCTGAGATCCCATTTCTACTGGCCTAGGACCTAGGATAATCTCCTGACTAGAGATGATGTCTCTGCCACTCTAAGGGGTGGTGGGTGCAGGCATAGTATCCAGTCAGACAGCTAGCATGAAGAGACAGTCACTATCAATCTGAAATGCCCAAGGATGGCACTCTCTGAGGAGGGTCCACTGCCTCGAATGTACATGCAAGGTGAGTTATCCACAAGGATGTCCAGTGAGAGGAAAGGAGCCCAGTCAGAAGTGGTATCTTCACTACTCCAGGTGCCATCTGCAGGCCAGGCATGGTGCAGTCGGCCTGCTTCTGGAGAGGTTCTGAATATAAAATTTTGTGCGCACTTTTAGAGCCGGATACAAAATGGCATGAGCCTGGCTTCCAGAAGACCTAGAACACTGCCAGCCACTTGGTTCCCTGAAGTGTATGGAGAACAAGTAGAGAGATCAGCCTTTTTTGTCATCAGTCAATTGTTGATGTGGACATGCCTGTAGTCTTTAGTTCCTGTGCTGGCTGGATGTTCAAAGTGGCCGTGCCTCACTGCTCATAATTTTGTGCTCTGCCTGTCTCCTTAGTCAGTGTTTTAATTCAGTTTCTTCTTTTACTCTGTGTTTAAGCCACTTCTTAATCTTTCCCTTTTAACCTCAGGGTTTTAGAATCTTTTCTTGTGTTGAAGAGGGTCTAGGCTGCTGTATGTAGTCATACATCTTATCTGGAACTAACCAGATGTCTTGCCCATCATATTTTTAGTTGAGTCAGAAACAGTAGTGTTACACTTACGGATAACAACCAGCCTTAAAGGTAGTGGCCGGCCACACTGCTTTTAGTGCTTGTGGTTCTCCACCATCCTGGCAATGATCTAGTGTCACACATTAGGCTCATGAAATGTTGCACTGTGCATCTTCTGAGTCTCTCATCTCAGAAGACTGATCTATAATTTTCCAGATGACTTGAATTTTTAAAATTCGATTCTGTTCTGTTTTCTTCTTGGCCTTAATGGCATTGACTTGAGCAAGTTACAAACAGTGGGGGAAAAGCCCAATCCAGTAACTTACTGTGGAGTTAATGGAATTATTCATAATCATTTGTCCTTTTCCTCAATGTCCAGAGGTTTTTAGATAATACTTTTAGGGACTGTTATGTTGATTGCCATTATCTATTTAACCTCTGTGTGGAAAAAACAGTTTGAAAAGCTGTACTTAATGAAGAAGAATGTGCCATCAGGGTTGGAGGAAGACTCATCACAGCTGGCATTATGCAGATGACACAACTTTGCTTGCTGAAGGTGAGGACTTTTGAAGCTCTTGCTGCAGAAGGTCGAGGACAGCAACCTTCAGCAGTATTGGTTTATGTTTCAACATCAGGAAAACAAAAATCCTGACCACCAGGCTAATAGGCAATATCATTGATAGATGGAGAAAAGGTATCATCAGTGATTGTCTTACTTGGGTTCACAATCAACATCATTGTTACAAGTAGTGAGGAAATCAAAAGACATGTCACTTTGGGACTGCAGTCAGGACCTCTCCAAAGTCCTAAAGAACAAGGGTGCCAGTATAATGACTAAGATATGCTTAATCCAAGCTGTGGTCTTTTTAATTACTTGCTATGCATCTGAGAGTTGGACAGACAATAGAGACAACAGAAGAACCAATGCCTTTGATGTGGATGTGTGGTACTGGAGAAGAGCGCTAAATATCCCACGGACTACTAAAAGAGTGAACAAATAGGTCTTGGAGAGAGTGTGTCCAGGATGCTCTTAAGAGAAGGAAGATGAAACTTTGTCTCACATATGTTGGGCCTTTTGTTAGGAGGGACCAGTCCTTGGAGAGAGCTATCATGGTCAAAAAAGTGGAGGGTCAATGAAGGAGGGGAAGACTCTCAATGAGGTGGATTGACACAGTGACTATCATCATAGGTTCTAGTGTGACAGACATATGAGGATGGCACAGGAGAGGGCAAGGTTCAATTCTGATATTTATCAGGTTGCTATGGGTAGTAATTAATGGTACCTAACAATAACGACAAGAAATTGCCGTTATACTTTAAAAAAATTCTTTGTACAATATATTATCTTTTTGTTTTACTTTAAACTTTTTTCTAGTTACTCTCCTTATTTGTATTGACATTGGCTTTGTTAATATATTCCCCCTGAAAACCTTAAAATATTAAAATATAGCTGGAGAACGTCTTGTAGGAATGATCATATTTCTACCTTTTTTTTTCTTTTTAGGAAATGATGAGCAAGTTATCCTCCATGATGTTGAAAGGTAAATAGATTGTTCATGTGTGAAGGTGATTGGCTCTGATTTTCATGTGAACAGAAACAGCTATGCTTTTAGACAAAAGTAATATTTTTTTCTTAAAATAAAGTTAAACCAAAACCAGTTGTCCTTTTCTGAAAAATGAAGTTTTGATTTGAAAAGATAAATATTTGCGAAGTTGGTATGAAATAATAGTTTTCAGGTGAGAACTTAGAGAGGTTGGAAAGGTAAGAAACTTAATATTCAGTTGGTAATAGTAACTCATGACTGTTGAGTCAGAACAGGCTCAGAGCTGACCCACCAGGACAACCATGCCAACATTGAGTTCATACTATGTACCAGACACTGTTCTGAGTGCTTTATATGGGTGTGTCCATCTAACCCTCAGTAATTTTATGAAGAGATACTGTTGTGATCTCCAATACAGATGAGAAAACTGAGGCACAGTGGTGCTGTATAACCTTGAGGTCAGATGGTGCTAAGAGCTGACCAAAGGCAATCTATTCTCATAGTCATACTCTTAATGACCATGCCAGGCTGCCAAGAGGTCCCACTTCTGGCATCAGATTTCTAGCCCTGCTGGCATCAGACCTGGCTATTTTAACATGTTCCTTTATTTTTTTAAAAATCCAACACCATTCCCAAATCTGAACATAAAAACACATCCTGTAATAAATCAAAACATGAAATTTAATTAACACAGATCTCTTTAATGATTGAAGACAATGATTTTAAAATGTAGAACAATGAATGAATGAAAATCCAACTTTTTTGTAAACTCTTGTTAAAAATCACAATGAAGGGGAGCTCTGGTGGCCTAGTGGCAAGGAGCTGCAATTACAATCCCAGAGGCGCACGGTTCAAATCCACCAGATGCTCTGCCGGGGAAGGAGGGACAGTCTCCTCCTGTACCAGTCAGATCTGATTTGACAGTACACTCACGCAAAAATAATAATTAAAAAAAAAATCACAATGAAAATTTAAAAAATTATTAAAAGAGACCTGCCTTTTAGGAAAGGTCAAGATAAAGTATAATGTCCTTTAAGTTTACCTAGTTTGATTTACTCATTAATGAAGGAGAACTCTAGCCTGGGCACCAGAGTAGTGGGACTGTGCACTGTGTTTAGTGTGCATATCTGGTCCTATATATGTGTCTCTTTCTTGTTCTCTGTCTTTTAGCAGTGAGACCCTGGATGTGTTCGCCCATGAAGATGCAGTATATGGCTTGTCAGTAAGCCCAGTGAATGATAATATTTTTGCCAGCTCTTCAGATGATGGCCGGGTTCTCATCTGGGACATCCGAGAGTCTCCTCATGGAGGTAGGATCACCAAAAGGTTGTTGATTGAATTGAGGAATGTGATAACAAGTTCGTTGCAGATCGAATTTATGACATGACCTAAAGTGACCTGGGAGAGGAAATATGTAACTGTCACATGAGGCCGTAGATACTAGTCTTTAAAGGTCCCTAAGTAGACAGTAGTGAGGTTAACCATTCTTCTGCTACCTGTGAATTTTCACATCATTATCAGGAACCTGCTAGTGTTAGAGGGCTCCGATGGCATAGTCCGAAGCAAATTGCATTGCTAACCTGAAGGCTGAATGTCTCTGGTAGTTCAAATCCACCATGGCCTTTGAGACAGGAAGATGGGCGGTCTCTTCCCATTGTGATTTACAACCTTGGAACCCGATGGAGGGTTGCTCTGAACGGTAACTGATTCAGTGAGTTTATCTGTTGACCTCCTTGGTGTTTAGTGGCCACAGTAGAACAGAAGATGTTGGTGTCTTGTTGTTGAAATCAGTCACCAAGGGCCAGTAATGTGTATTGTGCTGATAAGCACATATTCTTAGTTGTTTACCAAATGTAAGGCACTTTTTTTGCATCCTAGTTTCAGGCTTATTATTTGTCCTGAAAAGAACCATTAGAATCTCACCTTACTTTGTATTGGATCTTAAAACACGCTTTGATTAAATAGAATGATCTGTGTGAGTTTCTTCCAGATGTGCTCTTTGAGTCTCTGAAGTAAAAGTGAAGAACTTGTTCTGTTGAATTTCTCCAGACATCTTTAGGAAATGCTTTTTATCTCATTTCTAATAGAGAGGGGTGTTTTTTTAAGTCTGTAATTTCCTGTCTCACAGGCCTTCTTCTTCAGCATTACCCTCAATGCCACTGCTTCCTGCTACCTTTGGCATAGCTTTGTAATGATCATACCTGTGCACATAGTATTACTATCTGGCCTTTATTGTCTCTTTCATTACTATGTCCTGTATTCTAGATATATACATATATCTGCTGGGCTGTGCTCCTCACTGAGGTTCAACCTACAAAAGAAGCTTCTTGTTAAGATCAGGCAAACAGCATCTGTGATTGAATTACTCTGTTCTTGGGAGGCAACATTCTCTTTATCTGAACTACCTGATATCTGAGATTCCTGAGTGTATTACCTGCCTGAAGGCCTGTGCAGGATTTCATTATAGAATCATAGACTGGGAAATGCTTTCTATTACTTCTAACAGGTTCTACAGGAGTATGCCCTCTCAGATAGCAAAGTGATTTGTTTCTAATTTAGAGCCTGCTGATATATGGAAAGGACTGCAGGGTATCTAGGTGGTATTGATTAGGAGATGACAGAATACAAGAGAAGTTTCTGTGTTAAGTGTTTAGTGCTTGGGTTTAAGTTCCAATACTGAGATCGCTTTCTTCACTTGTACCTCTTTTCAATTTAGGAAACAGTGTGATCTAAAAGGTAAAATTACACTTTTGTTTCATGATGCCTTTCATGAAATCTGTATGTAGCTTTGGGCTTTTGGTAAATGCCATCGTTGTTGTAATTTGTAGTTGTTAGCACTAGTCATTTTTTTTAATATGTAGTTTAAGAACATTTAATTTTTAAAAACAATCCATTTGGGTTGAAGTTACAATAATCTTACTAATAATTGACAGCTTTTTTTCAGGTTGAAGGGAAATTCCATTTTTCTTACTGTAAAACAGCTTCCTTTCTCAATTACAGGTGCCCCTTTTGTTTTGTCACAGCTTCTGATTAGATGTTTGTGAAAACAGTATGGTGGAGAGGCAGTGGTCGCTGGCCTCCATTAACTCCACAAGGGATAAAATTGCTCACCAACAACACAGAGCAGATTCCTGTGAGGTCAAACATACCTTCAAGTTTGTACCTACTTCAAACACCAGTCATCCCTCCCAAGGTTTTTGCCATTCTGCTATTAGATTTGCTGATCTGTTGCAATGGCCATGCAGAATTCACAACATTATGCTCAACATTATGGAGTTTATTAGGGAAGATAATAAATTCATATTTGAGAAGGGATACAATTCCTTAGTCAGAATTGTTTTTCAGGCATGATTTTAGGTCCTACAGAACTTGTGGGGATGATCTGCTACTCTGGGGTTCAGACCTATTGAAGTGGTTATCAAAGAGTGTGTTCCTGCTCACCGTCAACTCCTGCTTTCTCTCTTCACAGAACCCTTCTGCCTGGCTAACTATCCGTCAGCTTTTCACAGTGTCATGTTTAACCCTGTGGAGCCTCGACTATTGGCTACAGCCAATTCAAAGGAAGGAGTGGGACTCTGGGATATTCGAAAACCTCAAAGGTGAGCTACGTTTATTCATAAGATGTAAGGTGATCACCCTACAAAGGTTGTAAGATATTTTTGACATTTGATCGCAAATGAGCATCTCCTAATAGGTCACACTGTCTCTGAAGCCAGGGGAGCTAGGCTTCTGGAGACAGAGAATGTATGAGAAATTCACACTCTTTGCTAAGGAGAAATCATAAATTGTCCTCTAGCCTCCAGGCAGAGTCCATTCTAGGCAAATTTACAAAGTTTGCAGTTTTTAGTGTTGCTAGGTGCTATTGAGTCGATATATACCTCATAACCACCCTATGAACAGATCTGAACCTTGCCTTGTTCTGTAACATCCTTTCTACCTCTGATATAATTGAGCCCGTTGTTACAGTCAGTGTGTCAGTCCATCTTGTTGAGGGTCTTCCTCTGTTTCTCTGATCCTCTATCTTTCCCAGTATGATGTCTTTTTCCAAGGATTGACTCCTTGGAAAAAATTATGAAACTTTGCTTTCACTGTAACCTCTACTTCTTTAGATTTAAACCGTCAATGACTTCATCTTACTTAGATCTATAGTCAACACCCTTGGCACCAGCAGTCAAGAAATCAGGAGTCATACTGCACTGGGAAAATCTACAGTCACAGACCTCTCCAAATTATTGAGGGTCATTGATACCAGTTTGAAGACTAAAAGGCCATGGTCTTTTCAATAACTTGCTGTGCATCTGAGAGCTGGACAGTAAATAAGGATGACAGAAAGAGAGCTGTATTAGAGCTGTTGTGTTGGAGAAGAGTACTGAATATCCTATGGATGGCTAAAAGAACAAACAGCTGTGTTTTGGAGAAAGTACAGCCAGAGTGCTCCTTGGCAAAGATGACAGTGCTTTGTCTCATACACTTAGTGCACATTACTTGGAGAGGTTATGCCTTTGAGAGGGGCATCAAGATGTAGGATCGATGAAAGAGAATAAGACCCCTCAACTGCAACAATGGACTCAAGTATATCAGATATTGTGAGGATGACACACGATAGGACAGCATTCAGATCTGTTGTTTATAAGGTTGCTATGATTTGTACTCAACTAACGGTAACAACACAGCCTTGCCTTTCCTGTACTGGCAATCATGATCTCTGCCATACTCAAGCCGTTTGTTATGGTAACTGTGTCAGTTCATCTTCTTAAGGGTCTTGTTCTCTTTCTTTGACCTTAACCTGCGTGAAGTCTTCTTCCAAGGACAGGGGCCTCCTGACAAAATGCCCAAAATATGTGAGATGAAGGTTCACCATCCTTGTCTCAAAGGAGTACTTTGTTTGCATTTCCTCCAAGGCAGATTTGTTTGTTCTTTTAGCAGCCTGTTGTTGTTACATATCGTCCAGTTGGAGAGTCAGCTCTTTCCGGCAGCTTTTCAGAGGCAATAAATCGCAGATGAGCTGGCCTATCTCCTGAGGAGCATCTGGTGGATTTTAACTGTGTGCGCAGCTCTTTTTTACTATGCCACCAGAGCTCCCTCTATAGAGCTTTTTAATATCCATGATATTGTGTATCATAGAGTCGGAACCAACCTGTAGCTGACCCTCCAGTGGGCTTTCAGAGGCAGTTAATTACACAGGAGGAAACTGCCCATCTTTTTCCCATGGAGCAGCTGGTGGATTTGAACTGCATACCTTTGGGTTGCCAGCATAACTCCATACCACTAAGCCACCAGAGCTCTCTTCAGTTCCATAGAATATTCAGTGTTCTTTGCCAACACCACAGTTCAAAGGTGTTGATTGTATATTAGATGTAATTTTCCACTTTGTAAAGGAATATTACAGAAAGTAAACAAGGTTTTGATTTACTTTGTGAGCATCAGGAGAAAGGGACAGTTCAGTACAGACACGTATCTTCTTCCTTCCTTGATTTTTAGTTCTAGCCTGTCTCTGGGGCAAGCAAGAGGGGATTGGTGCTATTACAGCAGATCTTTGTTGCCTAGAGAGGTATTCCTAATGGTGCACAAAGCCCCCTGAGGGTACCTGATTTTTTTTCTGCCCTCTCTGTTGCGTATACACCTGGGTCTTGTTTTCTATGCTGGTGAAAAAATGTATGTAGTGGTGGGATTCCTATTGTGCTTTTGCTATGGGAAGTTTGCTTTCTGCGAGGAAAATGTCTCCTGTGCCAGTTGTAGTGTTCTCTGCCTGTAGAGGTTCTGTGGAAACAAAAATTCTGGCTTACTCAGATTACAGAAGTCAGAATTTGGACTAATTCTCTTTTCCCAACCTGCCATCTACCTTTCTTATGACATTACTGAGTACCTGGCAAGTGGAGTAGCACACTGAGTTATTTCCTTATCTCTAGTAGAAATTTTGAGGGATTCCTGTTGCCAACAAGTTGTTGAGGGAAGAAATATGTTTATGCTTGTTTTAGTCCTTCTCCTTCTCAGTCTCCTCCACCAGTTTCCTACTGTGTATTGTATTTAGGTCTTGTCTTTCTCTTAAACATGGTGTCTTTGTTTTTGACAATTTTCAAGGTTTGATTAATGTTGTGTTTATAATAACATTTTATTGGATTTAGAGATTATATGGAGATAAGTTTAAAGAAAAAAAAATTACCTATAATCCCATTTTTAGGTTCTCTATAACATAGATTCTCCAGTTGTTTGCACATCACTGTGCGTCTTCTCAGTCTCTGGTCATTCTCTGAGTGGTAACTAGCCAACCATTTGTTATGGTTTCAGAACGTAGTTTATATTCAAGTCTGTATATGTATCCTTTAAAACCTTTACACATTTAAAACATTTCAATGTCTGAAGCCTCTTTTTCCCCAATATGAAATACTTTGGAGTTCTTTGCCAAAGAACGTTTAATTATAACAGCTTATTCCCCCTCATTTCATCTGACTCTCCATTAATTCATTTGTGTAGCTTTCACTAATTTTGATAGATTCACCTAGTCTAGAGGTTTTTTTTTTTTTTACAAAAGTGAAATTACCCTGAATTTGATTCTTTGAATCTGGTTTACTCACTGTAATTTTTTAAGGTTTATCCATGAGATGGGTGGCATGATATGAGAATTTCATTTCTCTGTATAGCATAATAACTTTGTGTGATGTGTGTGTCTCATTTTGTTTATTTATTCTTCTGTTACGGTGCTCTTAGGATGTTGCTACTGTTTAGCTGTAGTTAATATGAGTGAATGTGTGTCTGTTTGAGCCACTTCTGTCAGTTCTTTTACATATGTGCCTAGGAGTGGAATTGCTAGAATTACTATAGGGTAATTCTGTGTTTCGTATTTTTAGCAACTGCCACTATATTAGTTTTCCACAGGAGCTGCACTATTTTACATTCCTACCAGCATTGTACAAGTGTTCCAATTTCCTCACTAAAAATTTCATTCTTTATAAGCTTATGTGCTATTCCACTTACACAGTATACCCAGCATTTGGATTTCTTATTTCCAATTTTTTCCTCATTTTAAATAATGATCCATTTATCTTGGTCTATTTTGCAAAATGATCTGTAGGTAATTATTGTGTGAAATGGTATATGTGTTTACATTTTTTATAAAAATTGTCAAATTTCCCTCTAAAAACTTCCCTGATTTGCAGACCTATCAAATGTGTATAAGAGGACATGCTTCTCCAAATCCTCAACAGTACTTACTCTTTACTAATCTTAAAAGGGAAAAATAGTATCTCTTGCTTGGGTTTTTTTTTTCTTTCTTCTTTTTCTCTCTTTAATTGTGGGTGAACTTCTGTACTTCCTTTGGAAATTCATAGTGTTCAGTGCCCATGTGATAGAAAAATCACCTATTAAGCCTAGTGGGTAACTTTGGCTGATTTATTTATCAATATGGCATAATGCCTTGGAGCTAAGGTAGCTTTGTCTGGTTTCTTTAAACTCATATGATTCTGTAAGGTTTTTCTTAGCATATGGCCAAATTGTGCATTCAGTTGCTATTCTTAAAATTATATCTACTAATAGTTTAAGATTAAAGTTGCCTATCTTTTTTATTAAAATGCTCTCAGAACAAGTTAGTGTGGGGGAGGTGGAGAGAGCCCTTTGTCTTTCTTTGCAGGATTAATTATATAAAGATGCAAGAGATGATTCCTCTCCTGAGTGCAGCTGCCTAGAAACCTCAGTGCATGCAGATGTAGGAGTAAATTTGAAGCCCCTGAGACAACAAGCCTGGATCAGGGTACATCTATATCAGATATCCTTAGTGTCTAGGGGAGATATTTTAGGGGATTTGTGAACCTCGTGCAGGTAAAATTGTGTGTTGTAAATCTCAGGGAGCACACAGTTAGAATGATTTCTGTGCAGGGGAGAGAGCTTTTAGTGAGTTCTAATAGAGCCTTATGGTCCCAAAAGGATAATAGTTACCAGGTATCTGGGAGATTTTGGTTTAAAGTTTGTTGTGATCCCTTGCTAGGCTTACAGATGTCTTCCAGTTCAGAATAATTTAGGATTGTGAGAAAATATCAGGACTTTCTCAGAAGGACTTCTGTCCTTCTGCTAATACAGTGAATTGTATTTCTGAACACAGGCAATATGGAATCCCTCTTACTTCCTAGGTTAACCCATGGGTTTTTTTATGTTTGTGTGGTTAGGCCTTCTCTAAATCTAAATTGTATGTCAATAGTTTGGTTGCCTGTCACTTTGTGAGCAGATTCATCTTTAACTCAGAGTCAGCTGGGATACTTTTGTCCCATTGGCACCCTGAAATAAACGGATTCTCTAATAATCCTTGCTGATAGCGTAAAATATCAGTCCTAGAGGGGAGGATAGTGGGCCCAAGCAGTGTCTCCTTCTGTTGTGTGTGGAGCTGACAGCACCTAACAACAGAAGGAATTTTCATTATCATCTGATTAACTTCCTCATTGTACAGTTAAGAACTATCATTTAAATATTGACTCTGAAGCGATATTTCTTGGGGTCAAATTCAGGTGGTATTTAATAATCTTGATGATCTTGAACAAGTTATTTCACTTCACAGTGCCTTATAATAATGATATTTATTAATGATACTAGCTAACATTTATTAAGCACT